CCATAAGTTCGTAGCGTTTTTATTTTTGACGTCGTTTTCTGGTGAAACGGTAGATTAACCGCAAAATATGTGTACCCTTCGAAAGAGCCAATTCTACTCTACAGAACCTGCGTTTTATTTTCAAAGTAAACCTGACGACCTTTGTTTTGTGAGTGCTCAAAGCAGAGTTTTTGTGTAGCAAAATATGGCGCTTTCGGCATCTCCATCTTCGGCGCTATATACGGAATTTATGAGAGGAAAATTTCTATTCGAAGTTGTTATGAGCGATAAAAAAATACTGTTTACCGGAAAATGATGCACGTAGAACAAGAATTCTTGCCAAGGGAGACGCTACAGAGAATGATAGAGCGCACTTTTACGGTATGTGTAGATGTTTTGCGTTTGGCCGGAATGAGGAAGTTTTCTGAGCCAAAATTTTTCGGGAAAGCGTAAAATCGCTGGTCACCGGTTGCATTCAAACTTTTGCATCACCTAGACAAAGCTGTTCATCGCTCAAAGCTTGATAGCAGGACGAGAACATTCTGTTACGAAACGACGCGTAAAATTCAAGCTGCAGCAGTCGAAGACAGCAACTTTTGAGACTTCGTTCAAACACTTCTTAGCATATTAGATGGACACCATTGTGTCAGCACATCAGCGTTGCTTGCTTCTTGCTACTCCGACTATACATACAGAGAAATATTCATGGGATATGGACGAAATGCGAAAAGCACAGATGCCGAAATGGCCATTTTCTGCCACTCAAAATACTTTGCTTCGAAAAATTATGAACCAAGGATCATCGGGGTTGCTTCAAAAACAACAAGCAGGTTTTGTAGAAAAAACTTGGCTGTTTCGATTAATATCAAATAATTTGCCGTAAACCAACTGCTTCACCAGAAAACGACGACGAAAATGAAAACGCTACGAACTTATGGAATGATCTAATAGTACTACCTGGTTTTCCTGGTCCAGCCCGCGTCATCAAGGTTTCAGCTCAGTGGGTTCATCCGCAAAGGAATCTATAAAAAAACATGGGGTCAAGATTTGCACAAACTTTGACGTTTATATATCTAAGATACTACTCATTTATTAGTCAGCTGCGAAACTTTACAATTTACAATAACCGATTGCGATTGGAGCGCGCTTTCCGAGGCCGATCATAACGCTGTGAACCCTATTTGGGGCTGTATCGAAGCGGTGCCTTGGTGGTTTTGGAAGCGGATTTGAACATATAGTAATACTCTCGACTTAGTCCACATTTATGTAAAGAAATCCGGGAAATTATGTGAAGGGAAGCAGGGAGCCACCCCAGGTGGCTCCCGGTGGCGCGGGAGCCACCTAATTTCGAAAAACACTTACCATTTTTTAAATTCACATAAGTTTCTCATAATTCTTCATACTTTTTTTGTGCTCATGGTCTTCCAACTACACAGTAAATTTGGTGCCATATCGTTACTTGTGCATTGAAAACGAGCCTATTTTGTTACTTTCCTCTTACAAGAATTGCGATTTGAATTCCCGCCTGCGGGCAGGCTAACGATCGGAGCACAATTTCACATTGCTGGAATCTAAGTTCATAGGACAGTAGCATCAACAAGGAATGATGAATAAAAAATGATATGTGCACTGTTTATCTGTAAAAAAGGGGATGTCGTATTTACGACTTCCCCTTTGCTTTTTCGGGCCAAAAACGATATCCAGCTTGTGAAAGCGCCACCCCCGACGGGCCCTGATTGTGGACTTCGATATGCAAAAAAATCAGCTGAATGGGTGGAGAAGAATCGTTCGTCAATAGCTTCTACGGCGTGAACGCTATAATATTAGGTTAAACCGAAAGTTCGTTTGCACCATTTTCAAAAAATCGAAATTTCTTATTTATTCATAGGACCCTTGCCATATTTTTCATGCTCAAAAATCAAGATAAAACTTGGAAAACGGAGAATGGAAAACTGTGCCCCAGTCCTGGGCTCCTCCCGTATATGCCGTTGTAGATTACAAATCTCAAAACTATAACCATAGAACTTTGGCCTTGTAACATTTGATTCAACTGGCTTGGCACCATTAGGGCGGGGTTTTGTCATCTAATTGAGGCCGCTCGCGCCCGCGACGCACCTGCGTCTCTCTCGCGCGAGTGCTCTCTGATCATCACCTGGCCTTAATTAGGTCACGAAGCCTCGCCTTTGCCGATGCCAAGCCAGTTGAATCAAATGGTATGTGCCTTAGTCTATGAGAAACCTTAATTTTAGCCGATAAAAACGAAAAAAGCGACAATTTTTTCTTCCCAACCTAATAAATGGTTTGCACTCGCATAACATTGCTAGAAAAATTAGTTTTTGATTGAATATCAACTTGTCTACTTTAAGAATGTTACATTTTTATCGATGTAAGTAAACAGTGAACAGCGTAAGTAAACATGCTCTTCAGTGAGAGGTAAAGCAAAACATAACATGAGGGTGCTACTATTACAGAGCCTTTATGAAGCTGTCAATTCTTGAAATGACGCCTTACTGGAGAATTACTACAAGAAATATGTGCTCTAGTGAAACACATAGATCGTTATTTTTAATGAAGAACTCAATCCTATAGAAACATTCAGTTTAACTCCCAAAATGTAGTCTCAGTCCTTGAAGAACTTGGAACGAAATTAAACATTTTAAATTGTAATGCGTGCTACTTAAAGACCGTTATTATGAAAATTCCACAAACCTAAAGAAAAACCAGTCTCTCAAACAATGTCTTGAAAATGCACCACGTGCCGCTATGACCGATATCCAGTTAGAAGAAAGGTGTATGCAAGACAATCATAGCCTACCGTTCCTTGGAGAACTTCGGCAGCGAAAATAAACTTTTATTCAATTTGTTTTTTCGCATTCGCATTCAATTTGAACTCGCAAGATGTCGTGAAACGACTTACTATACACAAGTAATTACTCCACGACATACAAGTAATTATTGGGCTGAACTCCTGTTTTGTGGTTATGTTTATTTAGAAAGAATGCTTTGCGCGTCAGTAGTTTACCAGAATCGCGGGATTGATAACCGATATAATTTCGAGGGACGTTGAGCGCAGCTGCTTCATCTTTTTTGCATTCTTTTTCTTCCATCTTTTGAGAATCAATCATACAAAATTAGCATAAAAGTCAAGTATAAAATTCAAGTATTGACCAGAAAAGGAATAAACAAGTATTATAGCAATTTGTTTGCCTCGTGTATCCTTTCATCAGTTTTCCTGTGTATCATTTAGCATTTTTTACTCAATTTGTATTTGTTATGTAGTTTGGCTTCATGTTATTTTGGTGCTTGTTATTTTGTCGGTTTTTCTTTTATAACTACTTCAGTAAACGGTTTAATTACCCAAGTTTGAGTTGAAGTACGCATCATCAAGAGTAAGCCCGCCTGGCAGCAATCAAGTGTTTGGTCTCTTGGTATTCGAGGGTTATCGTTCTAATTAATCGAGTTACCTCAACACACAAGGCCCTTCCCAGGTAAACGCCGTCAAAGGTCAGCGCGACCCAGTCACTCACATGCACTCTCATCCATAGGCGAAAGTAAGATTTTCTCCATGTTTCCATGCGAATGTTTTCGAGGCATTTTTCCCGCGAGTTTAGCAGGAATGTTAGTTAGGATACTCGGCTTTGCGTCCTTGTCAAACATAACATTACAGGAGGACTCACTAGTCCCTATTACTTCTATAGGATTTCGCTGTCCTTGCCAATTCTCTATGCCAATTTCCTGCCTCGTTTTTCCTTAAAGGCAGCGTCCGGGCAGATACGAAAATTTAGGGTACAGGGGCACAAGAGCCTGCTAAGGCTCTTGCTCAACTGGCGATGCACGAATTTGCTTCTGAAACGAGAAATCCGCTTCAGAAGTGGCGACCGGAACGCCCCGGCGACCGGGACGAGTGACTTCGATAGAGTGCACTTACCGCACACAGTCAAGAGTAGGTTCTCACAAAGACTCTGCGTTTAGCTCGTAACCAGCATGCTCTCTTACTACATGTGCCAATTCTCAGCCCGTGTTTGAAGTTTGCCAAAGATCGATAAAATCGACAAGTATTTGATAATTCTGAGAATAGACGTTGTATTCGGACAGCATGCACACTTTCCCACTGCGCCAACTCGCGCACCGTAGCTCAAATTTTGTGAGGTCTTTATACGTTGCAAAGGGGAGCTACTGCCAATTATTCCACAGTCAAAGCTCCCGCGCTTAAAAACAACAGGATCGAAAATTTGGTCCGGACTTACGGACGGCAGCATCGTAAACGAAAAGACATTCATATCTGCCAACGACAAGTGCACTACTTTATTTCTCCTATTGTAGGAGGGTCATTCTGAGAGTGACACTTGTGAGAAAGAACACGTTGAACAGTCAGTCGTGTACCAACTTGATGGTGAAGCGGATGAGCGTGTGAGGAGGGTAGGTGTATGTATTTTCAACGTATTTTACGTGTCATTTTTGCTTTTTGTCTCAAAACGAAACCGTTGTGTTCAGCGCATCTGCGCAGGCCTTAGCCCATATAGGGCCTGCATTTCAAGGTTTCGGTTGTTGCCCAGCACAAGTAAGAAGCAAAAATGATGTTCACGTGTGCTACCTTTTGCAGCTTGCAAGCGTTCCGATTGCCTTATTGTTGGATATTTTAGCAATCACTTCTGATCTTCACAGACAAAAAATATTGGGAAATATTGTTTTTGGCTGTAGTACCTATGCAGATTTTGAAGCAAATTCTGTGGAGTAGGCGGATACTATGTCAAGAACTGGCTCATCAAGAAACTTTGAGGGTTGAGGACAGAAACAACCTTTTATCCAACATTTTTCAATTTCTAGCGATAGAGAGGAAAAGAAGAGCCGGAGATTTCTGACACACAGGGAGTGAATGTGTTTTTTTTTGCTTACTGCGGATATTGCAGTAACATTCTACAGATACGATGCCTGATGTGTGCTACGGATATTCCAGTGTAACAACAACTTGAAGTTACTGTTTTTTGTGCATTAAAACAAATTCATGCACAAAGTTGAAACGTTTGATGTAGATGTGCCTTGAAAGCAAGCATATTCAATTCCTTCTTTTACGGCACTTGCACAGTCGATACATTCCGTTGTCGAATGCACATTTTCCACTTGGATGTCCCTGAAACATTACATAACGTAAGATGTTTTTGACCAATGCAAATTTTGTTTATGAGCAGCGCAAATTTTTACTTATGACTTCACAATTGTGAAAGCATCGGAGAACCCATTTGCATAAAACATTTCCCCGTGGAGCTCAAACTTAGGCGGAAATTTGCTTTTGCTTTCTTACTGTAAGAGAAGGACGAAAATACAATCGAGGCAGTACAGAAAGGCAGGATAAGTCTAAGATGCGCAGAAAAAGAGAACTGGGAAGTGTTAGGAGGAGTCACAGACTAGGATATTGTGTGCAACTAAAGGCAGTGGCCAGGCAATTTTTCGACCAAAAACATTCTCGCTTGCCTGGGCGATTTTCTCGATAGGGGAGCATGCTAAACAATCGGACTTTGTCTGTTTTCATACAGGGTAGTAGGCAACCTGAGTAGCCTAACATAATAAAATTAGAAAAGTTTTATTTTGGTGAGTCAAGCCTCTTATGTACCACTTACTTGTACCAGTTGAAATAGTTTAGCAGGTAAAAAGACCTTTTGTTTTCATTTCCTTGCAAAGACCAGAGGGATGGACACCTGCTACCGGAGTATGGGAGTTTTCCCAAATTGATCTACATGTCTCGTAAATCTGTGCAAATATGGACTTCGATTGTGAATATTTTCAAACATTCTTTTTTCACTTTCTGTAGATTTTAAAATGTTTAGTTCACGCCACTGTTTGAGCTAAGACTACTGCATGACAAGGCATAGAAGGAGTATTAGTCGAGCGGGCGTTGACGTCGTGCGCGTTCTCACCGTTCAAATCCTGCGCCTCATGCGCTCTGCGGCTAATAAGGCCGCGCTCGCGCTCCATGATATTGCGTCTTTGCCATGCAACAGCGTATATCACCCTCATAAAATTGATAGAAATTGAAAGTGATATTTCTTATATATAGCAAAAAAAGTATACCAAAAAATTTTCATTTTGTTGCTGCGCCCATTCAAAAAATGAATCAATACCGTCCCAATATTCAATGCTGTCCATACTTTCAACGTCAGTACAGCGTAAGTTTTCAGGATTGGAATTATAAGCCCAAATATGTAATTTCCTTACTTTGCGAACACATTCGTCCCGACAGTATCTCTCGCTTTGCCCATCACAAGTTGCACCGCTTGTCATAAGAATAGAGAACAAAAGAAAACTAATTGAAAATAGATTCATGTTTGTAGAAGGCAGAAGTGCTTGTCCTCACCGGCTGTGAATATTAGAATCCTGCAGTGTCAGGCACAAGTTTTTTTATATCTCACAGATTTGATGTGAATATTTGAAATAAACATTTGTTTTGGTTTGAGCCGTAAAATGGCATTTCTTACAGCCTTGTAACGAGCCGTAAACATTCGTTTTTATATCCACCATGCATGCTTGTCTGTGTCGAAAAACGAACCAAAAACCAGGATCTATTTCATGTCGGGAAACCTGACGTATGAGAGGTAGGTTTTATAGGTTTCACGAGTGTTTTCGGGATGGCAGTTGCTGACAGTTTCTGTGTCGTTTGCGTTTTACAGGAGGAAAATCAACGTTAACGAGAAGAGGTTGACTCGGTTACCAAAAATAAGATAAGGCTTTCATATTGTTGTACATTGCAAATTGATTCATGTTTTCACCTATGTAGATTTTATGTGCTGAACTTTTGATAATGTGATAGTCATAACGTGCGCGTGCTGCTTGTTCTATCAAATAACTATAGCAAAGGTACCTTTACACCTTTAGCTGAAAGCAGTAGCAAAAACCATTCCAAAAGTTGACAAAATATGGTTGAAATCTAAGGAACTGTTTTTTGATGATCTTGTGTCAATACTTTGGTCGTGCGATAATGTACTCTAATTTCACGAGTACAAGACGCACCTTTTTCGATTTTTCAAACGAGCCGTTCAGCCGGGTCGTTGTGTTTCGGAAGACGAAACTCATGCCGCACGATATCCTCAGCAATACGCAGCACTGTGTAGTCTTCCTGCTACTCAAACAAAAGTAAACAGATCACAGATGATAAAAAGATAGATCGGGCAGAAAATAATCTAGGTGTGGCTGTTTTTCCCTCAGTCCATTGAGTGATTAACACATTGACAACAAAATGACTCACACGGTGAGTCATGCAGTGATTGCCATGTGGGACAATATGCTCCACGCACCCACATGATGGGCCATGGCTTAAATTCTTCTAAAACAACCACTCTAGAGGGCAGCTATACTGAAGGGGAATGGAACATATATACACTATAGGATTGCCGCCGCCTAGTTAGCGGAGTTCATAAGAGGTCATGAACTGGCAGCAACGCCAATTTGCACTCAATTTGCACCGAAGATGAGCTGACGCTCAACGAACTCCGTCATCATCGTGCAGCCTATGAAACCGGAATTTCTTTGGAATCTGAATTCCAAGTTCAGTAGTAAAAACAGTCTAATTAGGGCTAAAACTTGTATTTAAAGTTTTTTGACAGGCTGATTCCGAATATATTAATCCTTGTGCTTGAAACCTATACTTTTTTCTTCTTTTTTTTGATTGAAACTTGTTTTCACAATTAGAAATTTCAAATATTCTATGCAAGGGTCTGACATGCTGTTGCCTAAAAAGCTAATGGTTTCGCTCAAAACTTTGAATATTCTTTCCTTCGAAATTTTATTTATCTTCCATTTTTTGGAACCTCAAACTCTTGAGGTTTCAAGCAAAACCACTAGCTTTTTAGGAAACAGCATGTCAGACCCTTGCGCAGAATTTTTGGAATTTTTATTTGTGAAAATTCAAATCAAAAAAGAAAAATTCTTAGGTTTCAAGCAAAACGTTTGACGATTACTCGGAATCAGCGTATTAGAATACCCCTAAATACAAGTTTTTGCTCTAATTGGACTAATTTTACTACTGAACTTTGAATTCGAATTTCAAAGAAATTCCGTTTCATAGGCTGCAGGATGATGACGGAGTTACCCGGTGCAAATTGAGTGAAAATTGGCGTTGCTGCCAGTTCATGACCTCTCATGAACTTCGCTAACTAAGCGGTGGCAACCTTATGGCGTATGTAAGTTCCCTCACCCATACTGCAGGTGACCTTCACTCGTAATCATCGGAGAAAATGTGGGGATTCGTAGTTTTATCAGATCCATTGTCAATCATACTTTGCAGTCACCTGCTGCCAGTTCCCCCTATAATTCCCCCTTCCGAATCACCATCACACTCCACTTTGCTCTTTGCCATGTGCGAAGAAACCCATGACTCAATACCTTGGAATGAGTACATATGGCACGAGTAATTCTCATTAGGTATTTTTTCAGAGTGTTTCTTACCATTAGCAATCTAATCCTGCCAACTCATTCCATCTCTGGCGTCCAGCTGTGAGTGATGGTCTCTATTCGACATCTAAAATCTGATGAAGGCAAACAAGCCAAAACATTAGCTGCGCACTTAGTTCAATGTCTTCTATGACGAAAATTCATGAGTGTATTCAAGCTCTTGTTCATATACATGCACTGAGAAAACTTTGTTTTGAATCTCAACGAACTTTGCATACATTTTTGATTGCTATTATATTTTTGTTCTGATCGCGCTATCTACCATTATCGGCAAGACGGTGAGCATGCATATCGCAAGTGAAATTTGCCAATACATCTGTCATTTCTTTTGTCGATTGTTGTATTTTTGATGTTAAATTGGATTACACAAGTAACAACTTGAGAGAGAGAAAGGGAGAGAGAATCTAGGAATGGTACAAAGTCAGACGTTTTACCGACCAACTCTATCATTTTTATTTCATCGTGATCAAACTTATTCCTATTCGATTTTCGCTGCTTTACATCAAAATATGAAGGCTTAGTTACTTCTCGGGCCCTGTTTCTACTAAACTGCCTAGTCTTTCTACAGGGAAGAATAATCGGTAACCGTGGCCTTTGAAATATGTTATATATTAGAATATTCGTCTCGAAACTATGTTCGCTATTTGCGGAACGCTTTTTTGAGAAGAAATGACGCTTTTGAAAGCGACCACAAAAAATCTGCACCGACAAGATTAAACCGAAATTTACTGTGCAATAATCGACAGCACTAATCGCTAACCCATTCGACACCATCCAGCTGTCGATATTATTCGCCTCTTGTGCAAACACGTTATATGCGATGAGATACGGCTTTTCTGAATAATCATTCCGCGGACCAAGCTTTGAGATAGCATTTCAAAGCAGTGTACGACTTATGACACATATCGAAAGGCCACAGTCGCCATGGACCCCTTTCCCGTTAATGCAAAACGTTTCCAAAATTTTTTAACACATTGACGACAATACGACCCACCGGTGGGTCGTACGTGTACTGCCATTTCGGACAATACGACCCACCGGTGGGTCGTAAGTTTTCGAAAGCTCTAACTTTGCCAGCATGCGATGGAATTCTACGGTATTCTGGCACATGATTGGGGACAAAGGCGAAGCTCTAGCCGGAGTGGTCCGGGTCCGGGATACTGTAATGTAATGTTACGGTAGGTATACCGTAGATAGAGGTAAGGCACAGATTTTAGCTCGAATTTCTCGCAGAGTGGTGCTGTTTTTGACAATTCAAGTTTACATGCACAAGAAATACAGGGGAGCATGAGACTGATGTCAGCCCATCCAAAATTACGATTTTATTGATTTTATTGATTTTTCGCATTGTTCATCCCAGGAAGCTCAAACCTTGCATATATAGGTTTTTTAGTATGCTGATTATGAAAATGACAGTCTCAAGTTCAAATACCGCCTTCTTACATCAGTTTCTTGATTCTTAAAAAAATTCTACCGTACTGCTACCGTAGTCCCACTGTGGGAAAGTAGTGAACAAAGTGGACACTATAATCGTGATCAGCATGTGAAATTACCCCAAAACACAATTTTTCACAAAAATCCGTGATGTTGGGTTCGTACAGAGTGACTACCGTAATCTTACCGTATACTGCCAAAAACTGAAACAAATCATATTTTGATAATCAGCGCCTTCGATAACCCTTGTGAGACATGTTTTGAATTTCTTAAAAAAAGACTACCATTTCGGACAATACGACCCACGGGTGGGTCATAAGTTTGGCAAAGCAAAAAAGGCTCCTGTCCGAAATGGCAGTAATCGAAAAATCGGCCTTGTCGTCAATGTGTTAAAGTGTCCTTATAAATGTTTTGCACGTCTTTCTAGCATGGAAAAAGTAGCTATTGAGAGTTTTCATTTTAAGCAGGTTGATAGATGATTTGAGTGTCGATAGATAAGAGATGAACCAAACAACCACACTATTTTGCTCCACCGTGACTAACCCGCCTTGTTTCCGATTCGATTCCCATAGTAAGCTTTAGAAAGCATTTTCAGCAATTCTGCACAGGAGTGGATCATTTGTTCTTCTTACCACACCGATGTTTTGACATTGGTCCATGGGAATGTTATTAGATTGTTACATAAGTCTTGTTACACTCTGGTTACTTAGAGCGAAAAGTCCTATGCTTCTCATTTTCACTAGGGCTTCAGGGTATGTTCTTGATCTGGTTCTAGTTGACGACCCAGCTGTCGTTGATTGTGTCAGTGTTATGCCGCCGTTTAGTACTTCAGACCATAATATGGTCTGCCTGGAAATTACCAGAAATTACTTTGATCTTGAGCCCAAAGGAGATTTCCTCGATTTCCAAAATGCAAATTACACTAAGATTGTGCATGAATTTAGTTCGTATAATTGGCACCAGATCTTTGATTGTTGTGCAAGTTCAGACGAATGCTATGGGCATTTCGTTTCTATCTGCCATCTACTCATACGTAAGTATGTACCACTTCGCAGAAAGCATGGCACATATCTTAAGATACCTGATAAATTGCGCTTAGTAAGAGAGTGGCTTATCTTTATCACTGTCGAGCCTCACTGGGTATGCATAAATACACCTCGTTGGCTCGTAAACTCAAGCGGGAAGTAGCCCGCTGGAGGAGCGCCAGCGAAAGCAGAATTGCTAGTTCGGGAAACTACAGAGAATTTTATAGGTACTGTAACCACAAGCTGAAACTTTCGGATCGTATACCTAATCTCAGGGAAGGTGACAACATCTTACGTGATGACATGCAAAAAGCAAACCTTTTCGCAGATTACTTTGAGAAGGTTTACATAAGTCATTCCCCCGCTTCCGTGACACTGGCCCCTAAGACTGATAAAGTACTTGACTGGGTCGCCATCACTACCGAAGTGGTTTACAATAAGCTTCGCAAATTGCCAAAAAGGAACTCCACCTCTCCA